GACTGATTTCCTTCAGACTCTTACAAATGCTTTAAAAAAATTTTTTTTGAACTCTAAACTATGTAAAAAGCAGGCTATTTAATTCAAATCATACTTGAAGCAAACATATAAATCATGCATTAAAAAATAGATTGATTATAATTCATTTTAAAAAGTTCATCTAGTCTGAAAAAAAATAATAATTAAAATAATATATAACAGTTCTAATACTTACGTTGGAAGAAACAGATTGGTGATCTTGTTCAAAAGCCATCGCAAAAAAATATTAAGCTCTGTGAATCAAATCAGGAAGACTTGCTCTTTTCAAGGTTGAGAAGAGAACTGACTTTTTCCATTTCTGAAACACCTTTTATAGGGATTAAAGAATGTTCTCGAAACATTTCAGATTTGTATAATCTGAACCAGGACAACAACAACATTATGATAACCCTTTCTTTCGAATACGATTTCAACTTCCATTAACCCTTATCATAACGTGAAGTCTACAACGCTTATCAAGGATCTTCCTTCACTTCTGTATGTATTGTCAAACTTGGAATAGCAACAACAACCTTAAGATAATACATTCTTTCACATATGATTATCAGAGTTTTAGAAATTTTCCATTACTCTATCATGATAAGTGGATGATGCTTTTAAGATTACCCTTATGCATATATGTATAAGTAATGTCAAACTTAAGAATAACAACTCTTTCAAATAAGTTTTCAGTGATTATCAGAGTTTTCCATTAACCTATCTTACCATGATAACGCAATAATATAATGACGCCTTATAGACTGTCCTTCCCAAACAAGACAAGACAAGAATGTATTACGATAAGTGTTGATGAATTATATTGGTGAAGATATATTTTTATGTATTAATTTTAAAAATATAAGAGATTCTTTAAGACAGAAAAAAATTGTTCATTTATTTTGTGATAGGTTTTTTGAATCGAAATGTTATGAAGATTATAAAAATGCATTAATATAAGTACAGCTATTCTATTTAAATTTCTGTGTTTGGTTGATGTTATGACTATTTTTTTTCCTTATGTTTTTAATAGAAATATATTGAAATTTTAGTTTTAATTTTAAAGCAAACGTGTATATCAAATGTCAGTAAATGGATATTGATGTTAATTTGATATTAACTAATGAAAGAAAATTCCAAGTATATTTTATGTATAATACAGAAAGAAATTTATTCTTTGAAAATAAATGTATTGAAAGGTAAAAGCTTCTTTGGTGAAATGAATGTTTTTCATAACATTTAAAAACGATGTAAAACAAATATTGATTGTAGAGAGAAGAAAGAGTCTATATGTAAAAATAATAATTTTATTCATTTAATAAGGTTCCCATTTTCGTGGAGAACGTATATGTTTTACAGATTTAACATGCAATACTTTTTTTTTCATATTAACATCATGATTCTGTAAATTTTCATTTTTGATATAGTCCATTGGCATGTTGATTTCAGTCAAGGCTTTTAAAAATTCGTTTTTAGCAGGAATATTAATCTTTTTCTTTTTGGTTGTAAAAAGGATATTGAATAAGTCTATAATATTTGAATGCTTAATTTTTTCCTTATGATAAAGTACCTCGCCTTTATCATTCCACTTAAGAATATCAGGATGTCGCTTTAAAATAGCTAATGCATTTTGTGCTTTTCTTCTCATTCGTAAAGGTACACTGTCTAAGATAACAGTAGAATAATCAGTTACAGTCATCTGTTTGTCGCCGTCTGTCACAGATGAGGGGGCTTCTTCTTCCTCTTTCACTTTCTTCATCTCAGCTGAATCGTCTAAAGAATTTTGTGAGTCGTCTTTAGGAGGTTTAAAGGGTGAATTGTATTCCTTTAAGTTCAATTTCTTTTGTAAAAGTTCATAATAACGCACTAATTTCTCACGATCGTCATCTGAACTGTTTAAAATATGCATCATGGCTTTATCCAATTCACTTAACTGTTTATCAGAAATGGTATGCTTTGTCATCATCTCTTCTGGAACTAACACATATTTCTTAGTGAACTCCATTGATTAGTCCTGTAAGAACACTGAGAGCAGCAGGAATCAAAACGTTTAGAAAACCTCCTTTTTGTAAAATTAATTTTCGTTTCTTCACAAGAGAAATCTTACGATTTCCTAATTTTCGTAAAGTTGTTTTATGCTTACAGAGAGACTTCTTTTGTTGCTCTGACAATGGAACGTTTCCTTTGAGTATGTTTAAACTACATTCGCATATAGCTTTTATGCAATTGATATTAATTTTCTTTAATAGCTGTTTCCGTAACTTTAACGGACAAATGTTTAACAGCTGTAACTGTCTTAGCTGTTTCTTGACCAGCGTCATTTTATAAAATGATGATGCATTTTATAAAGCTGTTGTTTTTTTTTATTATTTTTTAGTAATGTTTCATTTGATAAACATACTGTACTTGGTTAGGTAAAATTTGGGTGCGTAAACGTAATTCTTCCGGAGTTTCACTGCGCAGATCAATGAATAAATAAGAAAAAGGTTTCTTGGTTGCATCTTCATATACTTCTTGAAAAAACTTTAAATGACGCGGAAAGAGCTGTTTTCCTAAATGTACGATTTGACTGACATCTCTTCTGTTTTTACACAAAATCAAATAGTGTGCATTTAAAGTCACTTCACGCATTTCTTTTCCCTTGTGAAAAAAGTTTTGTGTGATAAAAATAACGCTTAAATTTAAATGATGACTTCCTTTTGTAAATAAGTTAGTCAGACGTTTATCATTCCCACATTCGCTCATCAAATCGTCTATGATGAATAATGTGTTGGAACCTAAATATTCTTGATATTTAATTGGTAAACCTTCGACAAAAGTAACATTCGGTATATCATTATACAGAGGTTGGTAAATTCCATAACACCATACTACTTTATCGGGAATCGTTGAAAACATTTCCTCTTTATACTTTAACAGTTCTCGTACAAAATAGGTTTTCCCACATCCAGTGGGTCCCGAAATCACCATTGTGAAAGGATGTTGTAGCTTTGGAAATTCCATATTAAATGAGACAAGACACATAATGTATAAAGTTTAAATGTATTTATTGATAGAAAGAAGATCTTACATGAAATTTCTTGATTACAAAATTATATACTTTAATATCATTAGATATATGTTGAGGTATGAAAGATAACAATATATCATTGAGAGATTGTCCACGACATTTACAATGTAAATAGTATATGCAATATTACCACCACATACTGCTGTTACATTAGTTTGGAGAGTCAACGAATTAAAGTCCATCTGTGGAAATCGTTCTGCATACTTGGCTATCGGTCCAGGAAAATAGGATGGGTCATGTCCATAGGAATCGAAAAATTCTAAATGCTGTGGAGATGAAATGTAAAAGGCTAACCAGTGACTACCGGATTCAGATGCACGATCTACATTAGCTATAAAGCAACTTGGATATTTCTTGATCTCGATAGGGAGTCGATCACTTGCAAAAACTCCCAGAAATGCTTTTCGTGTCTTTGCATTCTGAGAGAGTGCTCTGTTTATTTCAAGGCTGTCCATTGCTTAATTAGCAAAATCGCATAGTACATGACGAGATTTTGTTATTTCAATCACGTTTTGAAATTCTGCATAGACTAGCACCGAGAGAGTCACAGAGAGAGCTTTAGCAAATTTAATTTCTACTCGCAAATTGCCTTGATGCTGTAAGTTAAAATGAGATCCATCACACATATCTGGAGTTAAATCGAAAGCATATAACACATGTCCTTTCACAAATTCTTCTCGAGATAAATAGATGCCTTTGTCGCGATTAAATCCAGAAAATAAACTGTGGTAAGCACGCACATAATGATTAGATTCGAAATCAAGGTCCATTGGTTTACATGGAACGGGTTGTCCATCTACATAAATCGATATAAAGTTGACATGATGATGGGCAAACAGAAAAGGATTCATTGAATATTGTCCATTCATTGCAGCATTTTCTACACAAGTAATAATGACTCGCTTGGGCATCAATCCTAAAAATACATTATCTTGCATAAAAGACCAACTTCCCTTAGATACTGAATATGTTTTGCATAATACTCGATCTATAGGGTATTTAGCAGAACTTTTTTCCAACGCTTTTACATGTCCGAGAGAGACTCCAGGGTTTACTTTTACTTTTCTGATAAACAAAGAAGCATGATCCAAGATCACTTTATAATCGGCATCTTTCTCAGTAGAAACTAGACAGAAAGCAGATTTACTACGCACCATTTTAATTTTCACATCAACTAAATTTAACATGAGTCGATTTTGTTGAAAAATGTCACAATGTAATTGTCCTATCAAATCCACACTTTGACTGTTTTTTATAAGTTCACCGCGAGCTTTTAGTCCAGCATCCGCATCTTGAGCTAAGACATCTATTTTATTAGGTGAAGTGTCTTGGAAAAATCCTTCGCAGGTGAGTAAACTTTTCTTTGCATCTTCCCCATAATTCAATAATGTTTCGATGAAGGCTCTATAAGGATAGGTATTTGTCGCAGATGAAATGTTTCTTTCATTTAAACTTACATCTACTTGCGAAAAGAGAGAATGTAAAAATAAAATTACAGGGGCAACCGGTTCTTTGTCTGTTAGATTGGATCCGTCTGCCTTAACTACTTTAACTTTCACGTGTATATAAGAAGCAGCTAGATCAATATAGTCTTCACCACTGCCAGAAATATTAAATTCGATAGGTCCTCCATCTCGTATATTTGCGAGAGGGTGATATTCCACAAACTGTCCTTTTTCTATAGCTGTTTGCGTAGGAGGAATGGTAAATAAATCTAATTCAGATTTGACGCAAACGGGAGAGTCTCGATGAATATACGAAGTCATACTTTTTTTTTAAGAGAAAATATCCTGTGCTTTCACCTTCTTTGATCGGTGAGAAATGGTACGCTTTTTCCTACGTTTCTGCTTTTTATTGACTCGTCCAGAACCAATCATGTTCTTCACTTTAGTAGCAGCTTTATCCTGTTAATATATTTCCGGCTTCTTTCAGTCGACGCTTAGCAGCCTCTTTTACATCTTGTCCTTGTGATACATCATTTAACAAATTCAGTCCACTATGCCATACTTGTTTTCCAATTGCTTTGGCTCCTGATTTAATAAGAGGTACGGCAGCGCGAAAGAAGGATCTGAATAGACCCCCTAATCCGTATCCTCTCTGATAAAGATTACCTTGATAATAATTCAATCCATGTCCTGTTTGTTGTACATAATAATCTTCAAAAGATTTTTGACAACACTGATAAGGTACATACATTATGACAAGTATTTTTGACGGAAATGAAGTTTCACGTATGACCTTCCTCGTTCAAATGGCGTAAATGCTCCCATATGCGTTCTTATATCGATTTCCAAAGTGTCTATCATTTTCCGATTCACAGGTAAATAATGAGGTCTATCAAATAGTGCACTCACCACTTCTCCATCGCTACCAGTTACTCTTACAATTCGAAGAAGAGGAGCTAAAACATCTCCTACGATTTGAGGTTCTACAATATCCGTATATATCATTAATACACGATAATGTGCACAGGGGTCGGCTGCAAAAGGACTTTCTACAACAGTTTCGGAACTATCATCTGTAGATGTAATTTCCATAGGTTCAAAACCTAACATTTGGGCTAACCCATCATGTAAAATCACTTTAGCGTTATTTTTCACTTTGATTTTCACTCGTTTTGTTACTGGGTTATAATTAAATATTATTTTGTTTTGATGTTCTTTAATATAAATAGCTTTTAAAATATCAGGTACTGTTTCATAACATCCTGGAGGTAATCTACGACCTAACATTTCACCATCTTTCTCTAAAACAAATCCAATTAAGTTATTGTCTGCATTCACATTGTGCCATGTGTGCGGATATAGCAATTCAACCAAACCAACTTCCCACATACCTTTTAATTCAATGGGAACAGGTAAACGTGTTATAAAATGTGAAATTTTATTTTCGGGGAAATAATTCATAGAGCTATCGCTCGGAAGTGTTACGTAGAAACTCATTTTCATAAATGATTCGGATACATATTTTCTCACACTTTATATCGAGAGTAAATTAGAAGCTGGAATCCATTGATTGAATTTGTCGGGATAACCGCGATATTTTACAAAGTATTCTGTCTGTTTCTTATGCATACGTTTCTTTAAAATTTTTTCAATGCGATATTCCTCTTTCAGTCTCACTTTCTGCAACTCTTGTGCATAAAACGTTCCTTTTACTGAGTCTCCAAGTAAATCTTTAATTCTATACACGGCTGGATGTCTTTTAACACACTCTGTCACCACAAATAGTTCTTCCGTCCAATTGGTTTCATAGCCTTTTTCGAAAGTAAGCTTTAGTTTGGAAACACGTACCACATCTCCTACAGCGAATATACATTTAGAAACGTTAGAAGGATGATCTTTATACAAGGTAAACCATACATCACTCTCATTTTCTGAATTGACTTCTATGGGAGCTCGCTTTATACTTGAATGAAAAAGTAGCATTATAACTTTCTATTAATTTGTCCAAGACATCTACATATTTATATGTATTTCGAGTCGTAAAGTATTTCCACATTTTTGTTTTCAAAGTGCGATTAAACCTTTCCACCACGGATGCTTTAGTAGTATTGAATGTACTGAAAAGTTTAACTTGATTTCTTTTTAAAAATTTTATAAACACTTTATTTTTAAATTCGGTGCCCTGATCCGTTTGAAGTAATTTTGGTTTACGTTGGCTCATTATTTTTTGAAACGCTTTCACAATATCTTCTCCTCTCTTTTGTTTCAGAGAAATAGCCCATGCATATTTGGATAATATATCAATACAGGTTAATATATATTGATAACCATCATTATGATCACGTAAATGTGAAACATCCACTAAATCAGCTTGCCATTGTTGATCTATAGAATACACAATTACTCTATTCGTTGGAAATTTTCGGCGAATTGGCTTGTGAAGCGTGTACGCATCTATTCCCTCTAACCATGTTTGAATCTCTTTCCTGGAAACTTTACCTCCTGCAGCACGATGTAAAGCTTCAACACCACCAAAACTTGCAACATGAGCCGGATCCTGATACGATAAATTCATATTCATAACCTATTGAATTATTCTTCATATGGATAATGATAAGTTCCCACTGTCGTTAAGACGTAGCGTAAAATCAATAGGAATTTTATGAAATTCTGTAAAAATATAGATGGATGATAAAATAACACATAAAACAGTGTATAAACACACCGCAACGGTGGCTTCTCCTGGAGCAGGCATAATTGCAATTGATGAGCTGATTCAAATTCCATTTTCTTATATAGGCTTTTTTACCTAAATCTGAATGTATCCCGTCAGCTTAGTGGTTAAAATCTTCAAACTACTCAGCTGGTGAGATATTTTGTTTCAGGGTTCGATCCTATATTTTGAATCATAGAACATTTAAAAAAAAAAAGAAACTTCTAAAATAGATTATTTTCTTTTTTCATTCCCTAGAAGACGCCATAAGCAATTCCTAAATACATTATTTTCTTTTTTCGTCCCTAGAAGACGCCATGAGCATATATCTCAAAAAATCCCCGTTGCCAATTTTAAAAAAAACTAACTTTAAATGAAAAGCAGGAGGTCTACAACTCAACCAGCAGTCTACGAACAACTCAACTCCACTCGAAACCACGCCTCCTAGTGTGATGACGTTGCCTTTGGCCCCGCCCTCTGTGATGTCATTGACCACGCCCCCTGATCCACTGATCCACCTGATGCAGAACTGTCATTTTTATACTACTTGTCCCCCTCTAACTACGCTCCTGATCTGTTGACTAACCACTTTTATGTGTATGATTTTCTTACATTTTAACATCAGTACATTTCTCTTAATTAGAAACTGAAAGGGAAATTTTGAAATGTTATTATACCAGAATACTTTAATAAATCAGTTGTACAAAATACACAAAAATTACATTTTCTTCCTATTTAAATTTCTGTTTCATTTTGATATCTTTTATTTCACATCAAGTTTTTAAATCAGTTCTTGAATTCTGATTTTCTGTTCAAAAGAAAGAGGTAAAATATTAAATACGTAATAAACTATAGAGCTTTGAAATATAAAATTTTGGCTATTTCGATGATGATATGTTTTTCTTGTGCGTGTATGCATATGTTTTCTATGAAATTTCTCTTTTATTTAAGAAAAAATAAGGTATTATTATTATTATTATTTTCAAAATATTTAAAATAATAAATATTTACAATTTGGTAGCTATTATGTTATTTGACCGCTGTCTTACTTCCTGTTTGAAACAGACTCTAACAGGCTGCAGTTTAGGGATAAATAATTTTTAATGCAGTTGATAAACTTCAAATAGTTATATTGGAAAGAGAAATAGAGAAGTGTTTTCCTGTTTTCTGCAACTTCTAAACAATAATGTGATTAATATACCGGGTGGCCATAATTAAACTGACAGTGCTTACAGTGTTTTGTAGCGCGATCTATTTGCGAGAATGACGCCACATTTTGTAGGAAGATTAAACAGGACGGGGGACGAAGGATTCCGCGAAAAAAAAATTAGTTCCAAAAGTCACCGCTAGGGGAATATTTGGCATAGAAAATAGAGTGTTAACAAATGCAAATCAATACGGAATAAAATTACCTTTTATTATGTTTTATTATGGATATGCCTTACAGTACGGTATGGAAAATCTTACGAAAGATTATCAACTTCTATCCATCCAAGATCAGCCGTGTACAGGAGTTACTGTACCCCGACCATAATAAGCGATTGACTTTTGCTCTCATCTTTCTTGCCAGAATGGAGGTGAATGATACTCAGCCGTGGAAAATCTTATGGGGAGCCAAGGCCCACTTTTACCTGAATGGAACTGTGAATACCCAGAACTGCCGAATTTGGGATGACAATGTGACCACATGCAGTCACAGCAATTCCCTTACATTCACCAAAGGTAACTGTTTGGTGTGGGTTCACAGCGGAATTTATCGTAGGTCCATTTTTCTATTAGAACATTACCCCGACAGGACGGGAAACCTGTTCTGTTACCGGAGAGAAATATCGCTACATGTTGGACAGCTTTGTCATTCCGGCACTTCAGCAAAGACAATGCCTGGGTAAAATCATTTTCATACAAGATGGAGCCCCTCCACACGTTGCAGTATGGGTAAAACAGATGTTACGACAGAAATTCACAACAGAGAGAGTCAATAGCCGCTACTTTCCAACTGCATGGCCATCTCGGTCGCCTGCTCTTACCCCATGTGATTTCTGGTTATGGGTCCTTAAGTCCAAGGTCTATCAAGGAGTGATCGAGGACCTGGCTACGTTGAAGGATAACATATCACGGACTGTACGGGAGATTCCTGCAGACATGTTACTTTCTGCTGTTGTGCATACTGCGCACAGAATGCAGTATGTGGTCCACAACAATGGCAGCCACATTGAACCTCATTTGAATGCAAAATAAAAGGTAATTTCCGTATTGATTTGCATTTGTTAACACTCTATATTATATTACACAGCGCCAAATATTCCCCTAGTGGTGACTTTTGGAACTAATTTTTTTTTCGCGGAATCCTTCGTCCCCCGTCTTGTTTAATCTTCCTACAAAATGTGGCGTCATTCTAGCAAATAGATCGCGCTACAGAACAATGTGTGCACTGTCAGTTTAATTATGGCCACTCGTTATTTTATAATGCAACTATTTTAATTTAAATAAACTTCAAATTTCGTAAATTCGTTTAGAATTTCTATCTAGAATTAAGTAAAAATTCTGACTGAACATCTCACTCGCAGAAAAATAAGAGAGGGAAACTGAAAAACCTTCCAGTGGGCTATAACTTGATTGCTAGAGTTTTAATTGTAAACCGCTTCAGTTGCTTTTAATTAAAGAATTATTTTGATTTCTCTTGCTATCTTTTTGAACTCCTTTGCCAGAAGCGAATTTCTATTCGTTAGCTGTATTTTCAGGCTGAAGAGTTTTAAATAAATATTTGCGAATGCTCTTAAACTCTTTGTTGCCTTGAGAATTTATAATGGACTGAGGTTAAATTGCACAACTTACTTCTCAACCTCTAATGTTAAGGATTATCAAAAGAATCCTGAGGTAAATAGTTTAATGTAACCACTCATTATAGAATAGAAACTGATTTTTCAAAAATTTCTCTCCTTAATAGGCTTAGGGATGCAAATTTCACCCTTAAGCCTATTAAGGGGTGAAATTTTTGCTATGAAAAAAAAGTGCTATGAAGCAACTGTAACATTTTGTTATCTCCTCACCACATGCCTTCGTAGCGTAATTAGAAAACACGTCCGGCTACCAGTCGGAAAGGTATGGCGTGTGAATCTTGGTGAGAAAATTTACATTTTTCATGTTTCTTGCTTCGACAAAGCTAATAACTAAATACGAAAGTCTGAAACTGTTAAATGCAACGGTTATTCCATCTTTTGTCCATGAGTTATAATATAGGCTTTACCTATTTCACAAAAATTGTAAAGTCATTAGGTTATTTTGATGCTAGAAATATGAAAAAAGAGCAATGTCCTCGCCGGGACTCGAACCTGAACCTCTCAATACGCGCTGAGTGTGCTACCGTTACACCACGAAGGCAGGCAGAAGAGGGAAAAAATACCTTATATACCACCCGTTTTAAACGGCGACTGGGGTTAGAAGACCCAGTCACCAAATCCTGATGGTGAAGAATCATCATCCACCACCTTTTTTTTAGTTCGGGCACTAGAAAGTTATTAGGTTATTTTGATGCAGAAAGTGTGAAAAATGAGCAGGGAGTTCGCCGGGACTCGAACTTGGACATCTCAAATACGCGTCGAGTGTGCTACCGTTACACCATGAAGGCATGCAGAAAGGAAGGAGAAAATACCTTATAAACTGACATTCCAGCTCATCCTTTTCTGTCCTATAGAAAATATTTCATATTTTATAAGCCCCATAACTCCTCTAAGGATATTTACAAAACAGACCTCCTCTAAAAATACTTTTTCTAAGAATATTTGTTAATTAAA